AGAAAGACGCAAAGGTGCAGGGGAAGGAGATAGTGGGTCCTGCAAGGAAACCAGCCATAGTAAGGGGAAGAGAAGTCGTTTGGTAGTATGGACTGTGAGACATGGAAAGTTAAACTATCCCCATCATCATTCAGGAATCAGGGATCCGTGATAGTTACATATCAGAAGAGAGAGCTGAAAGCCCTTGTGGAAGACAGCTGTTTGGAGATGAATGTTATGCATCTGGGCAAAAACAGAATTATGCACAAGCTAAGTAGGCCTCAGGGCCCCAGTTTATAAGGGGCTGCTAAATAATTTTTTTTAAGTTACTATTAGAATAAAACACTTTTTTGGACAAAGCTACGGGGTCTCTAAAAACTGACACAGTTCAGGGCCTCAGCAGTTCTTAATCTTGGCCTGCAACTGTATGCCAAACAGGTTCTTTTCTTTTACAGATGTCACGTTCTAAGAAAAGGAGTAGCACCAGTCCTCAGTCTATGCTCTACAGTAACAATTAGCTATAACTCTACTTTTCAGAGCTCCCATGATCAGATGATCTTGAGCAATGACTAAAAGAATAATACATTATTTACTAAAGAAAAATAAGTTTGACAGAAATTTGGCAACCAAGTAGGTTGTGTTCGGGTCACTGTCTAGCATCAGATAGGGATTATTATCCCCTTGAAGTGTATTAAAAGAAGAGCGTGTTAAAAGCAGTGAGATCCAATGGTTCCTAAAAGCGGTAAAAAAACTGACATGCCAATAGTTTGTGAGACAGAATGTCAGTTTTACCCTGACCGCAAGGGCAGAGACAATCTGAATATGGAATATGACGAAATCTACCCTGTAATACTTCAGAGGGGATGGCATTAAGGCGAGCTAAAGTTAATGCCCTAACAAGGTGGGGAGCTGCTGGTTATGTATAATGGCAGAGTCTGAGGAGGGAAAATACCAAAAAAATTGACTCGAGTAGACTCTGCGAGAGTGAATCACCATATTGTTGTAATCCAGCTCTATAAGGCAATGCCGGACAAGTGAAAGGGCCTTTGCCTTACCTAGCAAGAAGATATCTTCAGTTATAAGCCCTAGCTGCCTTAATCTTGCATCTAGTGTTTTCTTCCATCAAGAACGGTAAGCATCTTGTTCAAGAAAGAACAGCAGACTTTCAGCTTCTGAAGCAACAATAATCCTTAATTAGCTATAACAACACTGACAGGAGATTCAGGCAGGGTCTGTACAACCAAGCAAGAAAGACCATACCCTTATGGAAGAAGCATCTCTCTTTCCTTTGCTGGACCTAGGAACAAAGCTGTTTCTAATTTTCTAAAATGAGCAACCTTTAAAAGAGATATTCATCTCAGGCCTCAGTTGTCATGGCACAATTAATAGTAGCTTTCAAAGGAGGTATTTATGCTACCAGAATAGGGAAGTTTCATTGAGGCAGCAACATGTCAGGTGTTATCAGTGCACGCACTTCAGGCAAATATAATCTGAAATAGTTTAACAAAGCTGATATATATACAGCTAAGCAAGTTGTTTACACTGTCTCAATCGGAATAGCATTCTCACTTTTTTCATGAGGATATGTCGCATCTACTTTTTACCACTCACACTAGGAGGTAAGCACATAATAAGAATTAAAATGTCCTTAACAGAAGCAGTACTTTTATAGAGGAAATTGAAACTGATCTACTCCAAAACCCATTTATCCTCCTATTGGTATTACTGTACATTCTGTCTTCTAGTACTGGATATCTTCTAGTACTGGATATCTGTTTAGGCCTAAAGCTAAGGCAAATACTATTTTTCTAAAGCCAGATAGAATGCTAAACTGGCTACTTCATAGATCAATATCTAGCATGCTGAGTATGGACAAATGGGTTCAAATTCCAGCTCATTTTTACTTGCTAGAAACTCATGAGCAAATCACAATCACTTTAACCATCTCCCCTTAAATAAAATAGAAATAATCATAGTGGAAACAATAAAGCAACAAATATCCTTCCTCAAAAACCATAATTAGAATCAATACGACATCAAGAGGTGCAATCCACTTTATTCGGAGGAACCTCTCATAGAGCCCTGACCTGCATAGCTCAGGCTAGCCTGATCTCCTCAGACCTAGAAGCTAAGCAGGGTCGGCCCTAGTGAGTATTTGGATGGGAGACCACCAAGGTTAGCGACAGAGACAGGCAAGGGCCAAACCACCTTTGAATGTATCTTGGCTTGAAAATGGTATGGGTCGCCATAAGTCAGCTGTGACTTCACAGCACTTCCCACCATCACCAAATCTCATGGAAGCCTAATGGGAATTTCTGAGCAATCCTGGTGAGAAAGGGCTACAGGAATCACTGGAAATGAGGGCAATTACAAAAAAAAAAAAAAAATGAAGACGGAAGTGTGTACAAAGTTTGCTAGCATACAGTTTCCCTAAATAAATTTAAATGCATAAAAATTCTTTTTTTAAAAAAATTATTTTTATAAAAAGGCTGTTGATAATTTTTGCTTAAACGTAGCCTTCGATATACAGAGAAATTTTAAGTAGTGGGGCTGAAGGATACAGACTTATTAAAAAGCACATATGCAGCTATTCATAATTTGTAATAGTATTTTTATAATATCAAGTGGAGATTCTTTCAAGTAATATACTGTCTATAAGCACTAGGCAAAGAAATACAGAAATTATTTTTAGTAGAGCTATACTGGACATTGATCTAAACGAGAAAAAAAACGCTTGAAAAAGCTTTTACAAGTAAGGAATGGTATGACAGTCAAACACACTATACTTTCGGTTGCTCCTGAAACAAGACAAAGGAGAGACAGGAAAAAAGATTAACACCTGCCAAGATACATTTCTACCACCAACTTGTGAGAATGCTGATTTCATCCAAGGTGCTCAATCCTTAGAAAATCAAAATTTGACATTACATGATAGTCACAAGACGGAATATTTCAACACAAGCTAACACAATGTGATCAACGTTCTGTTTCCTCTCTCATCCAACTCTTCTGAAATGAAAGACGTCAAACCCTACAACTCCTAGTGAACCAGGGCTGGATGCCCCTTCAGTACATCATCTGTTTGAAAACAAATGTACTTCTCATCTCCGATTTTTAGCTATAACAAGCCCCGTCAGGCATTATTAAAATGATTTCCTCTAGGATGCTGATAGTTCTTGGTATTTTTCAAATAACACAAAACCCAAGAAGTAATGTTGGACTTTTTCAGGAAGTCACTGTAACATTCTGCAGAAGAAAAGAATATACTGAGAACAAAGACTGCTGTCGATATATGGCCTTTTTTTGTTTTCATTCTCGAGTGGCTTAGTTCATCATTTCCATCTCAGGTGATAACTTCACACTCAAAAGCATATTCTGCTTTAGTAAGTTCCCTTTTTATTGCTTTTTCCATTTTGCATTTCCACCTTCTTCTTTCATGGATCTCAAGGCAGGTTACATAGGATTCATGGGATTACATAGGCAATCTTCCACTCAGGTTCTGATCACACCCAGACTTGATTAGTTTCAGCAAGGCTGCTGTGTCATAGGCCCTCCAGTGATACCCTGTGAGCCTCTGATTTTTTGATCTTGCAGCAAACCCATTAAAAAATGACAGGATTTATGCATATTACACTGGCCAGACTAGCATTTTTCTGTTTCTTGCAGTGGGAAAACTCAGTAATGAACACCTGAGGAAAAGAGCTGACATTTTCACCAGTCTGATGGATTAGAGGCAGCAGATTTGGTGCATGCCTTTGGCTCCACAACTTTTTTTTTAAAGGCTACCATTCTAATCAAAACACAAAGGCTACCATTCTAATCAAAAACTAAAGCCACTAAAGCAATCCCAAATATAGTGGGAAGCCATTATATTTGCATTGCAAGGGTTATGTCTTCCAGTCTGCCAGTTTTGGGGAACAGGAAACTATCACAAACATCTCAGGATTCTTAGAAACTAACAAAGAGTAGCACAGAAAGCTCACCAGTTAATCTAGGTGCACCCAACCCAATGAAGTATTCTCCCAGGTTATACCTCCAATTTTACTGGAAGAGATCACCAAATGCAAATTGGAACATAGACGAGATATGTTTTAGACTAGTCCTTCAGCAATAACAACGTGCTTTCATTTGTGTGTGGTCTTAACTGTGTATGGTTGCTTAATTCTAATTCTGTAAAACAAAAGCAAGAACCGATAAACTTGGTTACATCACTAAAATATGCTTTCCTGACATGCTTTTTATGGTCTCTGCCACTGTCGTACCAGCCACATTCCCCAAACCAGTTCAAAGAACACTGAAATCTCTCCACAGTTGCAAGCATATAAAAATGCTCACGTACACTACTCCCCCGCACTCTCCACAAGGATTTTTTTAAAGCCTTAACAGCTCAGGCTTCTCTGTGAGAATACTACAGTGAGTTGCACAGAAAATAAATGTAAACTCTGTCGTCTTTTAAACATCATGCTAGTGTACTGTGAAAAGTGTACCCTTTTTAGAATCACATTAACTCAGCTCTAAGGCCTTAAGATCACTTTTTTACAAGCTTCTTTATGACTAAAGTGCCGTCATTAAATCAGCCTGAGCTATTTGGAAAGGCAGGCCACTGAGTTTTTGACCAAGTTTAGGTAAGGTAAATTAATGCAATAAACAGACAGAAGGGGGGGGGGGGGGTTGCAGCTTAAAAATGAAACTCCAAACATGTAAATATACAGGAGGTGCAAACTACACTGATGGTGATCAAAACAGTCACTTCTGTGTCTCAGCAGTTCTCACTTTAATTCTGGTTTGTTTCGGGTTTGTTTGCTTGCTTGCCATTTTTTTACACTGTAACAATTACCTAATAATCACAAGAGACATTTTGATTTGTGTTGCACTATTGCTTATTGTCTCATTATTCTTTGTTGACAGTTCTAATGGCGCGGCCTTACACACAGATCCCCATACCCACAACACACAACATTCTCCACAACTGGTCTCTCCCTGCTTGCGTCTATTTCAAATAAATCAATAGCAAAATTTACCTGTAGAAAACTGAGGGATCAGCATCCCTCATTGAAAAGTTTCCCGGTTCATTCTCAAGGTAGTACGGTACCTGCTGGTTGTGATGAATAAAAGGTGAGAGCTGTGGTGCTGTCTGTAAAAACACAACAGGGCTAGGAGGAACGTTATTCAGAGAGGGAAACCCTCCCAGGCTGTTGGACCCAAATGTTTCCGGCGTAGGGGCATAACTGAGGCTGGCTGAGCTGTACACTGGTTGTGCAGCGGTGGAAAAATCGTAACTGGTGCTTTCTGGGTAGCTGAAAACTCCAGTTTTGCTGCTCTCCACATACATTTCGCTGAGCGGTTGTTCCAGGGGAATCTTCAGCTGAGGTCTGCTCAGCGTCTCTAGTTCAGTGCCTTGTATCTGGTGCAACAAGGCAACACCAGAGGTTTTTGTGTGAAGGGTCATGGTCATTGTTAGTGGCAGTGAACATGTAGCATATCCTGGTTTGCAATCAGCCGCTAGCGATCCACCTGAGAACAGACAAGAAATCGAGGTGAAACACAGCAGAAATCCTGTTTCAGCCACATTATTCAACTGCACAGGTATCCAGCTCGCCCCAGCAAGAGAAGCTACAACTGAGCAGAGTGGAAGCACGCACACACACTCCCTCTCTCCCTTTCTGACTCAAACTTTAAGTACTACTCAACTGAGCTAATGTGTTTTACAAGGTACTGGCATTAGGCCAGATACTCTTGCCTTGTGCTGACATCGGTTTAAACATCACTTCAGAAACAATTAATTCAGGATTAATACCATATAATCGTTCCACTCAATTTTTTCTTAATTATAGCTGTTTTTTTCACTTCATGGGGCTCCGATGCTCACAGCTTGGGGCTTTTACAGCATTCAAAATGTTCATTCAGACTGCCCAGTCCATTTACAATGTAATTCCCCCACCAGGCTCCAATTTATCTCTGTTTATCTAAACTCCCTGTTTTGTTCATCTTCATGTTTTCTAGAAGTATTTAATGTGTATATTGTAATGACCCTGGGCAGGACTGAACTGTAACCGAGATAGGGCATAGCAAAGTGTGTGTTTGTGCGGGCGCACTCACACATGTGTGCAGCCAGCCACAGACTGTCAAAATTCCACTGAGCAGAAATCAAAGGGTGTCCTATTATCTATGTAGGAGAAAAGTATGTGCCTGCCGCAATTATCATGAGTCTTGGTATTTAGCTGCAGTACAAAGCATTTTTTTTTAATTTAAAGGAGGGGGGGAAAGCAAGTTAAGCCTGCCTTTATCCTGCCCTTGTGCCTCTTAACATGCTCCTTTGCTTTGCATTTCAAAAGCAAAAGAAAACATGTTAAGTTCAATAGGAGACTTGGGTTTCCCCACCACCATCACCTCTTGACATTAAGCCGCATGTTAATTGCATGAAACAAGGACAAAGAACTAATAAATCTATCAAAAAGAAAGAATAAAAAAGAGTCTCCCTTCCACTCCTGGCTTTCACCTCCAATTGCATTATAGTTTACTGAGAGCCGCCTGGAAAAGGCAGAGCTTTGAAACAATCCAAAGAGATTAATTTTAACACACGTAAATAAAAGGAAACCTAAAACAAAGTAGAACACTAATGTGATTAGCCTACTTTATTTTACAGTCTCATATAATTTAACTCTGGAGTAGCAATTACACTGCACCAGTCCAACGTAAACTTTTAAAATTAGTTCTGTAGATAGATCTATAGTTATCTAAAGTTCAGCTGGTAAAAAGAGATTAGGACCTATTCTTGCCATTAAAACATGCAGGGTTTAAGATAACGGCGTGTGAATATGAATATAGTCTCATGCCAGAATTAAATGCTTCTATGTTAAATCAAGCCATGAACCTTGATAAAATTAGATTTGTTTGCATATTATTTGTAATGCTCATACTAATCTGAACTAGTTCTAGAACAATTTTGCTATGAGAAACACCTGAATGTTACAACGTGTTGTTCAGAGACAGTATGTACTCAATAAAATACATTTGCAGCTAACACAAACATATTATGCAAACCTGCAATGTATATGCCTGAGCAACATCAATAATTTTGCATATAACAGCTATATTTACAGCAATCATATTTGTCACAAGTATTCTGAATCTCTTTGCATCAGTTCTGAATATATTCATGGAGATTTTCACTTTCAATCCTGTATCATCTAATTTAAATTTCAAACGGCAGAATTACAGCTGAACCAAACAGAGCTGAACTGAACAAGCAGAAAGCATACCTCTGGTATAGAGAGTCAAACCCAACTGAAATTCTACAAACACATATACCGTACATGAACGTGGCAGAGAATAAGTGAACAAAAATGTGTGTATGTTTCAGTGTCTGTGAGTGAATGTGAATACATTTACACTTTTTATAAGGTAGATATCTACTCCTAAATCTTCCGGATTAAAAAAGAATCTATGGCATTGCTAAATTTCAGGGTGACTAATGCATACAAAACATTTATTTTTACAACCATACATTTATTTCCAGCTTTAAAATATTTTCTTTAGATAACTGAAGAAGACAATCTAAAGAAGAATGACACACAAATAGTAACAAGTGTGTTCAACTGGATCATACCTACAATTTTGAATTTGGAAATAAAATATTATAGCAGAGGGCAAGTTAAATGCTACACACAAATTTAACTCCATCAGACATTTTTTAAAAATATCTGTATAATAGTTCCAATATTTTTAATAGTTATATAAAACTGATTGAAGTTCCTATGGTTAAATGGAAAAGGCTGGAACAAACAAGCAGGGCAGACACATACAACATCATTTTATTTGCTCTGGATTTTGGAATCAAAAAGCCATTCAGACCAAGCCCCATGCCATACATCACCCTCTAACAGTATCTCACAAATTAAAACATCATAATTCAGCTTTCAGTGTACAGAGACAATCACAAACAAGATGCACCATGTCAAGGTGCCTGAGACAGGTGTTCCAGATAACTCAAAAAAGTGTCTCGAGGCATGCATAACTTCAAAAGGCTTTCACAGCCAGACTCCTTGGCTGGTATCAAAACCAAGTGCCGCTACATTCCCAAGACTAGCAAAGGACTCACTACGATGGGAAGTGCTGCCATTCTCCTTTCTGTGAGGTACCTAAGAAGACCAGGAGAAGGCAGCATGAATTCTTTTTTTAACTGCTTCAGGCCGACATGTAATGGCAGCATTCTCTCTGTGCTGAGAGGCCTTTTGTGACTCTGTGCTAAGTACTTTGAGATGGCTAGGTTGATCTCTCATGCAAAACACAGACGGCCGCCCCTGAATTCTCTGCAAAATTTATTTTTAAAATGTTTGAACTTGCTTTCTAAAAGCTCAAGGCAACTACTAAGACAGGCAGTGGGCAAGTAAGTGTAACCCAGAGTCCACTTCAGAAAGTTAAAGAGTTGGGGTATTCCTTATAAGGAAAAAAAGGTGCAGTTTTCCCTGAGATTTTGGAGGGCGTGAAGCTGCAGGGAGCAGCACTTTCACCTTTCTATGAAACTATATATTAATACTGAAGGGATACCAGAAACTCCTGTAAAGAGCAGAGGACATTCCAATGCAGAACACAGCTGCAAGTTGGTGCATCTTCAAGAGACTGGCTAGACACAAGTCAGAAAGACTGAGGCCCTGGTCTGCTCCAATACTACAGGCCTGAACTGTTATATGTTGGTTGTTATTGTTGTAGTATATACTTAATTATTATTATTTTCATAAATGCAAGTGTCATGAGGTGAGATCACATTGTCATAGATGTGAACTCTCTCAGTTCCTTAATTTAAAAAACAGTTTGGTGCATGGTTAAGAGCATGGACTCTAATCTGGGAGAACTGGGTTTGATTCCCCACTCCTCCACATTCAGCTGCTGGTGTGACCTTGGGTCAATCACAAGTTATCTCAAAGCTGTTCTCGAAAGAGCAGTTCTCGAAAGAGCTCTCTCAGCTCCACCTACTTCACAGGGTGTTTGTTGTGGGGAGGGGAAGGGATAGGAGATTGTAAACTGCTCTGAGACTCCAAGTGAAGGGCGGGGTATAAATCTAATGTCATCTTCTTTTGATAATGCTCCTTGAATTAAATAGGTTATATAAGGACTCTAATTAAATGCATGGCAGCTGGAGAAGTGGATGATTCTAGATAAGTTTGTTCTGGGGTATACTAGGCCCCCTTAATGAGTAGTGGTGAGATTGGCACACCACCTCAGATTAAATTGCCAGGTAAGATATGACTGGTCACCTGTCACAGAAACATAACCTACAATAAGGAAAGTCAACAGCTCTGGGTACTTTATTACCCAGTGCCACAACGAGGGTTGCCAAATGGGGCCGGGGGGCGGGGAATCCCCCGCTTCGGAGGCCTGATTTCCGCCATGGCGGAATCGGGCCCCGGGGGAACCCCGCCTCTGAAGCTGCATCACCAGAGGTGACGCTGCCACGTCGCTCACGTTGGGGGCGTGGCTCACATCGTCGGGGGGGAAACCATATGGTTTTCCCCCCGACGATGTGGGCCACGCTCCCAACGTGAGCACGTAGCACGCGTCCATCAAAAACTCCCGGACCCCAGCGAGGCTCCCCCGCTCCGAGGGGTGAGTCGACTTGCCAACCCTAGCCAAAACATTGGTATCCCAATCCTAAATTATGGGAACCCAGTGCCACAACATCCCAATCCCTGCCTATGGGAACTGCCCAACTGGGACAGTCTCCTCCAATCAGACTCAGATTTCTCATATTCCAGTGATACCTAGAGAAGGTGAAGGGTAACCAAGGAACCACAAAAAGCTTCCCAATTCCAGTCTAAACTATATGGCAAGTGATCACTTTTTAAAACATCATAATGGGAAACTTCTACATTGAAAACAGCTTCCCCTCCCCAAGAAATCTTTCATTTTTGTTGTTTTAATTAATGGTTAATTAATACACAGTGCAATCCTAAACAGAGTTACAACCTTCAAAGTTCATTGACTTCAACAGGTTTAGTAGAGTCCAACCCTTGTTAGGGCTGCACTGACAGTTACAACCCATAGGCCAGCTGCAGTTTATGAGAGCACACTTCCAGAAATGAGAAAAATCCAGCCATGTAAATGATTCACCACAAATGTAATCTCTGCCAACTCATAAGAACATAAGAGACACCAAAGTTGGATCAGCCCAAAGGCCCATCCAGTCCAACACTCTGTCACACAGTGTCCAAAAATACCAGGTGCCATCAGGAGGTCCACCAGTGGGGCCAGGACATTAGAAGCCCTCATTACCAACCTGTATTAAACTGCCAAAAAAGCAAACTGTGCTTAAAGAACTGGGGTCCCCAACTGCAGCCTTCTAACCCGCATGTTTGCTGCTATCACCCTCAAGGGATTTTCCCTCAGACCCACACTGTTCTTCCTGCCTCAAGAGGCACTATCTACTGCTCTTCTTCCTGTCCCTTTTTTGCAAAGAAAAAAAAAAAGACACAATAGCAACAGTGTTTCTTCTGGTCCCCATGGTGCCTTCTGTC